TGATGAACATTGGGGTACATGTGTCTCTTTCAGATCTGGTTTCCTCTGTGTGTATGCCCAGGAGTGGGATTGTTGGGTCATATGGCAGTTCTATTTCCAGTTTTTTAAGGAATCTCCACACTGTTTTCCATAGTGGCTGTACTAGCTATATATGACAAACCCACAGCAAACATTATCCTCAATGGTGAAAAATTGAAAGCATTTCCCCTAAAGTCAGGAACAAGACAAGGGTGCCCACTCTCACCACTACTATTCAACATAAGCAGTTTTGAAAGAAGCTAGAAGTGGAGACACACTCACACATGTTAAAGTGTTCCATGTGAAGGTTATCTGCTTTCAAATAGTCAGCCATATGTTGTACACTGCTGTGTGGTAACTGAAAAATCAAATCAGTTATATACCTATGGATGATACACAATTTCATGGGATTTTCATTTTCTGTATTCTCTTTCTGCCTGGTTTCCAAATATTTTAATTTAATGATTCATTTGTTAGCCAGTTAACAAAATGTCCTGTGATCAGTGTTACACCTAGTGTACAAAGCTACAAGGCTAATCAATGCACTTGGCAGTGAGGAACAGCAGAGTCAGTCACTTTATTTTCCTTTTCATTAATCAGACTTGCCAATAACATAAGTACTACTTTTAAATTAGCCCTTCTTATTACTTGCAGAAATCTTGAAGATTCTGTCATTTAAATGCAAAGCATATGCTTTCACTTTTTGTAAATTAGAAACAATTTAAAGGGACAATTATTAATAATTTAATAAGATTTACTGTATATTTATTGTATACTAAACAATTTTGAGTGTTTTAGATATAAGCTTAATAATAAAAATATTAAAGATAGATATGCCTAGATAGCACTTATTATTTGCATATATATTTCAATAACTTTACATAAATCAATTAAATCTTCATAATAATCTATGAGATAATTGTACAATTATCACCGTATTTTTACAGGTATGAAAACTGAGACACATAAGTACCTTGCACAAGGTCACCCAACTGATTTGAATCCAAACAGCCTGGCTTCAAAGACTAATCACTCTGCCATATAATATATAATACTAAATATCATAATTTACTCTATAAATTATGTACTCCAAAATGGAATTTTGTTGTATTTGTGTACTTCAGTATTTTCCTTCAGAATAACAAACTTCTAACAATGCCCAACAGCCAGCTCAACAATCCCTCCAGGACAACATATATAATATAGTTTTAAAGAATGATTACAAAAAAAAAAATTAAGGTAAATTTCTATTTTTAGTCACACGAGCCCTAAATCCTGATAAAGTTCTCTCTGGCATGTGGACTAAAGTTGATGGCCTATCCTCAAGGCCTAAAGGGCCTCTGTGAGGGCTCATTAGCTCATTCATGTCCAACTCTTTGCAACCCTATGGACTGTAGCCTGCCAGGCTCCTCTGTCCATAAGATTTCCCAGACAAGAATACTAAAGTGGGTTGCCATTTCCTTCTCCAGAGGATCTTCCCTACCACATCACCTGCATTAGCAGGTGGATTCTTTACCACTGTGCCACCTAGAAAGCCCTAAAGGGCCTTTACACTAGTCTAAACCCAAATCAAATGAACCTCCATCCCACTGCAAGCTATTGGAATCATTACAGTATCAAATTGCATCTTTGAGAAGAGGCAAAAGAAAAAGAAATGTAAAAAGCAGTCCCTGACATCAGGAAGTTCACCTGATACTCAGAGCTAGGCCATGTTATTCTAGTGCACATAAACCATATCATAGAATATCAACCTCAGACAAGGTTACTCTGGGACCACAATAAAATGATTCAAAGCAAAACCTCAATTTTTTCCAAGTACAGACAAAAATAAAGTCACTTTGCCATCCACCAACCACCCCTGCCATGATAGCTTTAATGAATAGCTAAACCTTTTTATCAATTACTGCCTTATCCTTGTTCTAGTTTCTCCTCCTTATAGGCAAGATTTATTGAACTACCAATATCCCCACTTCCTTAGACCACCCACCAAATCATGCAACCAAAGCCCAAATCCTGAAGTATGTTTTTTTTTTTAACACCCACTTACTGAAAACATACAATGTTTCTCGCAGCAATGAGTAAACTCAACTTGTTCAACTAAGGGTATGTCCCTGGTGATCTTCAGCTGAAGGTCACTGACAAGAGATATAGCAAAGGGGACAGGCCTGCCCTTACAGACAGCTCAGAAGCAGCTTCACTATTCTGTTTCATAGAGATAAGAGAAAGGAACAGGATTGATAGTCACTCAGTTGTGTCCAACCCTTTGCGACCCCATGGACTGTAGCCTGTGGGGCTCCCTTTGTCCACAGAATTCTCCAGGCAAGGATACTGGAGTAGATTGCCAAGGAGGGACTTCAAAATGTCTGATATTCCTCCCTGAAATAGCAAGAAAGATATACCCATTTTCCTTACTTTTATTACATAGTAACAGCACCCACTCTTAAAAGAGGACCAATTTTCATGTGTGGGAGGGGTTTAGAGGGAGTTAGAAATTTAACAAAGGTTATAATTATTGGTGGTGAAGAGCGTGAAAAAGTCTACATTTATCAAGTATACACTGGAAGCATTTCTTGATTTGAGGTTCCCCTATCATAGTTGTCTATTTCCCAATACCCTGTCAACTATTGCAACCTCAGAGAAAATCAGGTGAGTGTTTATCACTGTCCCTAGGAAAAAGATACTATATTAGAGGAGGGTCCTGTTCAGACAGAAAAGGAGGGGAAAAAAAACCCATACCTTCCTCCTCAGTTGATTGTAGAGATGAGAGGGTGGTAAGAAAAGCAAGCAGTGTTAAAAACTTACCCCTTTGAGCCAAAATCCGAAGGAGGAGGTATGTTCAATAGTGGAAGAAAAAGTCACAAGCAGAGGAGCTTTAGTTCCACTTTCATTTTATAATTTTGTGGGATCACATCACAATCACTTGGGATGGAAGAGTGGATAGGCAGCAATAACGAGATAGAGTTAGTACTTCCAAACCACTCTCAGCTCTAATATGGCATGGAAGAGATTAAGAAGTTTGCTGTTATCCCAGAGAGATAGATTTGACCTTCATAGAGTATACTAAGGGGGGCAGTCAAACTTCCGTGTTTCCATACTTGAGGCAGGCAAAATTAGCTCTGGGACAAACTCAGCTCTCTGAACAACCACATCCCATGGTTCTCAGTCAGTGCACTCCCAACCAATGTCATAAAGCAGTATAAGTCCCTTTACCCCCTTTACATTCAGGTAACGATGTGGAAGAGTATTCTGAAATATAGACTAACACACATGAGCCTGTTATTTGTAGAGTATTTAAATTATTAAATGACAATGAATTTACTGTTGCTGATGTTTAGTCTCTAAGTCATGTCCGACTCCTTTGTGACCCCGTGGACCGTAGCCTGCCAGGCTCCTCTGTCCATGGGATTGGATTTTTCAGGCAAGAATGAATATAGCAGTGGATTGCCATTTCCTTCCCCAGGGGATTTTCCTGACCCAGAGATCAAACCCTCTTGTCCTGCATTAGCAGGCAGATTCTTTACCACTAGATACATTGAAACAGATTTTGTTTTCCTACAATCTTGGGAGGTGGAGATGGACTCATGATTAAGATTAGATCATTTATAAACCATAAAAAGATACATTTCTTTGCACATCTAAGGATATTTTTAGTAAGTTTTCATGAATATATAAACACACAGAAAAAGAACAGTAGGCAATAAATAAAAACATAAACAATGCTTTTCTTTGAGGAGTGGGTATATGGATTTTGGTCCTGCTATAAACATATTACTTTTATAATTAAAAAAGATCAGTTTTATAACATGAAACAATAAAATTTTTATTCATTTTGTGGTGAAGGACCATTAAATTCTTTTTCAAAATGATAAAATGATCACTTTCAATGAATGATTAAATGTACTATAGGAAAAGAGAATTGTACACTGTAATTACAGTTTACACAATTACACAGAACAATACATGGCAATCTTTGGAAAATACTTTGACTAACACTTCACTGATAAATAACTTTAATACAACTAAGTTTCATTATTTATCATGGTCACATAAAATACAATAGCCTATGAACAAGCTGTTATTGACAATAAATGTGGTTTTGCCTGAATTTCTTAACCATATGCAGGTGTTTTCTTAAGCATTCAAGTTTTAAATTCTATTGCATTTTGATTGCAAAATGAAGCAGGTATGGCAAAATTAAACCCAGTAGCTAAAGAAAACACAAATACAAAAAACAGCAAAATAACCTTGAGTTGGTTCTCCAAAATTTTCTTTTAGAATATATATTGATCTCATTTAGTAGTTCTGATAATATTCATAACTACAGATTAATACTTACATGATGAAGGGACTTCAGAAGGATTAAACTACACAACACTATATTAATATGTCTTAAATCATTTACCACAGTCCACATTTCTTGAAAGTATTCTATACTAAAATGCAAGGTCAAATGAATTAGTATTTGAACTTTTCATATTTCTCAGACATACATTTTAACTTACACTACAAGAAAAATTAACAATACAAGACTGTAATTGTTATATTTTGAGTAACTAGATCTAGGACAATTAATTTCAGGGCCATGTACACTCTGCTTTAGCGATCAATGTCTTCTACTATTGCCTCAAGATTTTTGCAACAAGCTTTAACTTCCTCAATTGCAGTCATCCAATTATCATAAATAATTTTGTCATAAATTTCATCATTAACTTCCCTAACTACCCCTTCTTACTGAGATTCAAGTGCATCACCTGAGAAAAATAATACTGATCTTGGGATTATGTAAGTACGTAAATTGTGACCAAGTAGAAAATCATGCTTTCCATTTGAGTTGATTCCTTGAGGAGTAAAGAAATTGAAGAATGAATCCTTGGGAAAATCTTCAGTTGCAGTCCGGATTGTTCCCCAGACCCGGTGCTTCTGCTTTTTCTTGACTGTTTTCAAAGTGACATTCTTTCCTTCATTCCAATCTATTTTACAGCCTATGCAATACTCAATCGCGGTTGGGGTATCATATGTGCTAACCTTGACTTCAGCTTATAGGTCTTTGTCAACAGCTCATTTTTGAAATATTCATTTGGTTTGAAGTGAAACTCTAGTGTGAAACTGAGAGGTTCACCAGGATCTGAAAGCTTCACTTTAATATCTGTCAGGAGCTTCAGAATAGGCTCATCATTCTTTTTAATCAAAGGAGTCAGTGTGTCAACGTTTTTCAAGACAGTCAGCCAAAAATCAGGAATTCCTTTAGGATCCTCTTCTTTATTCTCATCTCCAGCTGCCTTGGTGTTGTCGTCATTGTCATCATCATCGCCATCATCCTCTTCAGCCTCCTCTTCAATAGCATAATCATAATAATCTTCTTCACAATCGGCATCCTCATCCATGTAGTCAAGTAGCAGACCCTCCTCATTACCACACATCTCTTCCCCAGCATACATTTCATCATCATAGTCCTCAGAATCTGATTTATATTCACATTCCTCTTTTGTAGGCTCATAGATTGCATTGATTATCTGACGCCTTTTTTCCAATAAAGGCTGATACATTTCAGCAAACTTTCTTTCAATACCATGAAATTCCCTCAGGAATTTGGACTCTAGATTGGCCACTCTAGTTTGAAGCTTTTTGAGGGCTAACACACGGTATTTAACTTTCACAGGTAGACTTTCAACAAAGTCTGTATCTAAAAGATAACCGATAAGTCCTTTTGGATGGTCTGGGTCTGAATCCTCATCAGTATCTTCACCTTTTTCCCCGCCTTCCCCGGACCCAGCAGCAGCCTCTTCACCTTTTCCCCCTTCTTCCCCAGGACCCACAGCGGCTTCTTCACCGCGCTCCCCATCATCTCCAGGTCCAGCTGCGGCATCTTCACTGCTCTCCGGCTGCTCCCCGGACCCCTCCATCATTACCTTATCACCAGACTCTTCTTGACTGGATTCTAACAGTTCCTTGCGGTCGGCTGACTCGGCCATTTTTCAAAGGGCCTCACACGCCTAATTGGCTACCGTCAAGATCAGGAGACCTGACCTCCGCAAGGAAAGACTCACCGGAATATCAGACGCGGCGCTGACTGGGACAGAGGTGAAATGAACGGTAGTGGTCTGACTGTGTTGCGGGAGCCTAGAGCGACGGGCGAGGCTGCTGCCAGGATGAAGGTGGTGCGGAGGCTGTGAGAATCAGAGGCAGCGGTATCCTGGCTGGGGTACAGAGAGCAGCGATGGCCGCAGTGACCTGCACGAGCAGGCCAGAGACTGCAGAGAGCCGCAGTGAGCTGATCTCCGCAAGCATCAGCTGCTACAAGAAACAACCGATGCCGCAATTACGCAGCCGTCTCTTGGCTAGATTTTTTTGGTGCAAATAGCTTGTTGCGTCACTCCCTCCCTCCCCGACAACTCTACTCTAATTTCGTTTGCTGGGCTGCAGTGATCGACAAACCATGAACCAATAAATTATTAGATCTATCAAGTTTCCAACTCGTGTCACCTTCCCAGGTTCTCTAATATGGCTGCTTAATCCACCTCCCGCTAGTCCCACAGCACCACCCGAGTTTTCTAGAAACCAGGTTTTACTAGCTTATTCTTTCAGTTTTCAACTGGTATTATATTTTTATAATTTCAAAAGAGAAAATACCAACTAAAATGCCAGATAAAGCATTCACCCATTCTAAATCTGCCCCTTTGATTTTAGCCCTGGGCTCTGGGAAGGAAAGAGATGAGACGGAGAAGAATTTACAGAGAGGTTAGAAGGGAAAAACACAAAAAATTAGCAAATGCTGGTCTCAAGGTGGTGTAACTGCCAGTGATTTATATATTCTGTATTCTGTTTTTCTGTATTTTCCACAAGCTATAGGATAAGTGACCAGTAATTTTAGATTGGAAAATCTCCCCTAACATTTCCTGGGGTAGGGGGTGGGGACAGGAAGGAGGTTAGATGATTAGGAGGAGGTTGGGTTAAAGAGCACTTGCGATGAAGAGCCAAAACGCTGTATCCCACTATATGAGTATTCCACTATATAAAACCTCTGTATATGTATCCCACTATATAAAACCAGCTGTCTGTCTTATAGTCAATAACCCAGTCCTAATACTGATAAGACTTGCCCCTCCCTCTCTCTTAATTCTGGCTTTAAAGCCATTGGGGATGTTTAAAAGAAATGCTCAATTGTAAAGTGATATATATCGTAAAAATCTTAACATTTGTTTGACAGCTGTTATTTAAAATAATCTAAATCTCAGTATTAAAGACATGGTTAGATATATGATAGAGTGTCCATAGGATGGAATACCATGCAGCCATTAAAATCTTTCCTTTGGGTAGGCTCATTGGTGATGTTTACTTTGTCCATTTTGCCAATACTGATAATTTTTTAAGTGAACAATTTTTTAAAAACTGTCTTTTCCAGATTTGAACTCTAATTTTTATCATGCTACTATCATAGAGATAAACACTTTACATATACAACACTGTTTGTTGTATTTCTTTATAGATTCTTTCAGTATGTAGGTAAAATTCTTTTTTACTTATTTTATCTCTCTGTACTGTATATGATTACATTATTTACAAAATTCAATTTTCAGGTTCGTGTATCAATCTGGATAGTTCCATAGTTAAAAGCCCTACATTTCAGATTTTCTTTTCCTGGTTATATATGCTTAATAAAGAATGAAGTTCTGATACAACAACATGGATGAACCTTGAAAATATTATGCTATGTGATATAAGCCACATGCAAAAGGACAAATACTGTATGATTCCACTTATACAAGGTGACATAAAATAGGCAAATTCAAGGAGACACAAAGTATAATAGATATTATCACAGGCTGGGGGAATGAGGAACAGAGAGTTATAGTTTAAGGGGTACAGAGTTTCAGTTTGGGATGATAAAGTTGTGGAACTGAGTATTGATGATAAATGTACAATATTGTGAATGTACCTAATACAGCTGAATTGTACACTTAATAAATGGTTAAAATGGTGAATTTTGTTTTATGTATATTTTACCACAATAAAAATTCAATTATGTTTCAAGAGAACAGCATCAAAACATGTATATTATCTAGGGTGAAACAGATCACCAACCCAGGTTGGATGCATGAGACAAGTGCTCGGACCTGGTGCATTGGGAAGACCCAGAGGGATCGGGTGGAGAGGGAGGTGGGAGGGGGGATCGGGATGAGGAATACATGTATATCCATGGCTGATTCATGTCAATGTATGACAAAAACCACTACAATATTGTAAAGTAATTAGCCTCCAACTAATAAAAAAAATAAAAATAAAAATAAAAAATTCAATTACAGTACCTGTTACAATAATATCAATCATAAAAGAATATATAGAATTAGATTTAACAAAAGTACAAGATTTATTCACTGAAAATTACAAAACATTGCAGACAGTAATTAGAGAAGACAAATAAATGGAGCAAATATAGGGCTTCCCTGATAGCTCAGTTGGTAAAGAATACATCTGTAATGCAGGAGACCCCGGTTCAATTTCTGGGTCAGGAAAATCCACTGGAGAAGGGATAGGCTACCCACTCCAGTATTCTTGGGCTTCCCTTGTGGCTCAGCTGTTAAAGAACCTGCCTGCAATACAGGAGACCTGGGTTGGAAAGATCCCCTGGAGAAGGGAAAGACTACCCACTCCAGTATTCTGGCCTGGAGAACTTCATGGACTTTATAGTCCATGGGGTCACAAAGAGTCAGACATGACTGAGTGACTTTCACACATGTATCTTAATATATTGATGGACATTTGGATTGATTTCAACGTGAACTATTGTGAATAATGCTGCTATGAAGTTTGATGTGCAAGTATTCTTTTGAGTCTCTGCTTTCAATTCTTTGGGGAAATACATGGTGTCAATAGAATTACTGGATCACGTGGTAATTCTATGTGTCCATTTTTGAGGAAAGATCAAACTATTTTCCATGATGGCTGTAGAATTTTACATTCCCAGTAGCAATGCATAAAGGTTGCAATTTCTCCCAATTCTCACTGAAGCATATTTTTTTTTCATTTTTTAACACATCATAATGAGTATGAAGTTGTATTTCTTTCTGGTTTTGAATTTACTTTCCCAAACAACTAGTTCTATTGAGTATATTTCCAAGTACTTATTACTCATTTGTATACCTTATTTGGGGCTTCCCCAATGATTCAGTGGTAAAGAATCCGCATGCAATGCAGGAGACATGGGTTTGATCCCTGGGTCAGCAAGATTCTTTAGAGGAGGAAACAGCAACCCACTCCAGTACTGTTGGCTGGAGAATCCTATGGACAGAAGAGCCTGGCCAGCTGCAACCCTAATGGTTGCACTTCAGACACTACTGAAGTGACTTGGCATGCATGCCCACAAACCTTATTTAGAGAAAATGTCTATTCAAGCTCTATGTCCATTTTGAATTGGTTTGATTTTTGTTGTTGTTGAGATGTATAATTTTTGTGTATTCTAGATATTAAGCCATTGTCAAATATATGATTTGCAAATTATTTTCTCTCATTCTGGGGGTTATCTTTTCACTCTCTTGATAGTGTCCTTTGATGCACAAACATTATTTATTCTGATGAAGTCTGCATTATTTATACTGCTTTTGTTGCCTGTACTTTTGGCATCATCTCCAAGAAACCATTGCCAAACCAATGTCATAAAGTTGGCCCTCTATGTCTCCTATATCACTTAGTTTTCCTTCTAAGTGTTTTACATATAAAACATTTGTCTTGTTCTTTGATCCATTTTGCATTAATATTTGTATATGGTATAAGGTAAGTGTCTGATTTTGTTCTCTTGTATGCAAATATCCAGTTTTCTCAGCACTATCCATTGAAGAAACACAATCTTTTCTCCATTTAATAGTCTTGGCACACTTTTGAAAATCAGTTGATAATAAATGTGAGAATTTATTTCTGAGCTGTCTGTTCTATTTCATTTGTCTATATGTCTGTCTTTATGCCAGTTTCACACTGTTTTGATTACTGTAGCTTTGTTGTAAGTTTTAAAATCAGAAAGTGTAAGTCCCCCAACTTTGTTCTTCACTTTTCAGTATTGTTTCAGATACTGGGAATCAACAGTGATTTCATAAGAAATTTCAGGATGAGTTTTGTGTTGTTGTTGTTCAGTTGCTAGGTTGTGTGGACTCCTTGTGACCCCACAGACTGCAGCACTCCAGGCTTCTCTGTCCTCCACCATCTTCCAGAGTTTGTTCATATTCATGTCCATCGAGTTTGTGATGCTATCTATCCATTTCATTCTCTGTTAACCCTTCTCCTTTTGCTTTCAATCTTTGCCAATGGTTTGGCTCTTCTCATCAGGTAGCCAAAGTATTGGAGCTTACTATTTTTCAAAAATATATATCTTTGGGAATTTGATAGGGATTGCATGGATTCTGTAGATCTCTTTGGGTAATATTATCATTTTAAAAATATTAAAAAATATTAAGTCTTCCAATTCATGAGCATAGAATGTTTCTCTATGTATGTATGTCTTTAATTTCTTTCAGCACTGTTTTGTAGTTTTCAATGTACGAGTATTCCACCTCTTTGGTTTAATTACTCCTAAGTACTTCATTTTATTCATGCCTCTCTAAATTGAATGGCTTTCTTAATTTCCTTTTCAGAGTATTCATTGTTAGCATATAGAAATACAACTAATTTTTGCATGTTGATTTTCCTCCCTTCAATGTTACTGAATTAGTTTATTTTCTCTAACATATTTATTTTAATCTTTAGGGTTTTCTATATGACATCTGTAAGCAGAGATAATTTTACTTCTGCATTTAAAATTTAGATGTCTTATTATTTTTTTCTCACTTGATTCTGCCTAGAACTTCCAATACTATGCTGGATTGTTGTTCAGAAACTAACTCGTGTCTGACTCCTTGGTATCCATGAACTGCAGCATGCCAGGTTTCCCTGTCCTTTACTATCTCCCAGAGTTTGCTCAAACTCATGTCTGTTGAGTTGGTGA